AGGTTAATTAGAGGAAGAAGAGATTGGAGGCAAATTATTGCAGTAGGTAAGAGCAGGGGCGGTGCCAATGGAAAAGCTTTTGAGAGAGTTTCAGGAGGTAGATCGGACAAAATGTATCAGCTTTTAGATGTAGAATATGAGCAACAGGAAAGAGTCAAAAATGACTTAGGTTTTGTGCCTGGATAAAAGGAGGAACAGAAAACAGGTTTGGGGGCAACTGGAAGATGATAAATTTGGTTTTGTGCATATTGGATTTGAGGTGTCCATTGGCCACCCAGATGGGGACATCCTAGCTCTCTGGGTGTGTGTGAGTAGAATATGCATGGGAATCTTTTGCAGACTTAGCTAATCTCTGGTCCAGCCCCGGGAAGATGGGAAACAGGATGAATTTTTATGTCTGGGGAGAAAGGATAGCATTAGAAGACTGAGATCGTTCTGGGGAGAATTCTTTACACTGGGGCTCCCAAATAAGCAGTATGCCAGGAACTTACTCTGCCTATTAGTATAGGCAGCCATAGCAGGGCCTCTAACTTCCCTATGCTCTGCAAATTCCACAGGGCCTACTCACCCAGCAATCACTCAAACATGTGGGATGCTAACTTTTACAATTATGAATTATTTTATATCTTCCTTTATCAAAATAATCATGGATTTTATAACCAGGAAAAAAACATATAACTTGGAAAACTGTATGGCAAAACTATAATTACTTAACTGAAAGAAAACAGAATAATTATGAACATTGCTCATTTTCTTACCTCCATCATTTAAAGGATATAATATTTTAGTTGCTGCTTTATCTTTCTGTGTGGTTTAACATTCAAGAAAAAAAAACATTCATTAGTAATTAAGCTTCTAAGACAGACTTTTGTTGACTCAGAGCAATCAAATTAATACAGTATCACCCCCCATCTTCCATCCCCTACCTCTCTCCTAAACTCTGGTATCAATGCTCATACATATCATCAACCTCTTGGACAGATCTCTCTCACAGGTACCTAAACTATGTAGTTCAAAATGAAGTTTATCATGTACTTGTGTACTCCCATCTTCCCAAATTTGCTCCTTCTTTATCTTCTATATTTTGGTTAAAGGCATAACAGTCCATCCAGTGCTGTTCCAGAAAGCTTAGAGTTGTTCCATTTATTTCAGATAAGGCCAATCCAGGCTAATCTAATGCTTACTGAGCACATTGATTGAAATCAAAGATATAATTCCTGACCTGAAGGAGTTTATCATCTGGCAGAAAAGACAAGTATGATACAGTATAATGAGTTCTGATATAGAAGTAAGCCTGAACACTATAGGAGCACAGACAAAAGGCATCCCCCTTCAAGAAAACCTATACACAAAAAGTAAATCATCATTGTCATCTTGCTCTCTCTGGAACCACACATCTATTGAGTCACCACATCTTGACATAATCTGACTCTGAAATATCTTAAATCTGTGGCCTCTGGTTCACTCTCATTGCCACTGCCTTAGCTTGGGCCCCTATTATTTTTATCTGGACTGCCCCAGTAGATTCAAAACTATCTTGCCTCTAATCTCTACTCTTTATGTATCTATCTCACAGACTGCAACCAGACTATCCTTTTAAAACCCAAATCATTCTTATTTCACATCCCTACTGAAAACCCTGCAATGGCGTCCTACTATTGAGAGGATAAACTCGTACTTCAGCAAGGAATGTAAAGCTCTGACTTCAGCCTGTCTCTTCAGGCTCTGCCCCCCCACTGCCCTGCCTTTGCTGGCTTGCATTTCCATGATTTCACCTAACACTTTTAACATCTGTCTGCAATACTGCCTCACTATATTCTCACATCTATTCATCTAGACACTTCCCACTCACACTTCAAGACCTAATTCAATTAAGCCCTCCTTTAATAAAGCCTTATTAGACCTCTCTAGGCAGGACTAGTCTCTAAATCTTCTGGGCTCCCACCACATTTTGTACAAATCAAAACTCTCCTCTCACATTACTGTAAGGACCTTTGCTTGTATGTGTCTGATCCTTGGACAGTGAGTTCCCGTGAGCAATGATGATGTCTTTCCCATCTTTGTATCCTATGTCACCTACCTTTCTCCTCTTCCCTTCCTTCTAGCTTAGCAAAGGGCCTGGCCCACAACAGGTTCTCAATAAACATTAGCCATCATCATCATCAGTTAGTTTCTGCTAAGCTACATGGTACATTTAAGGTGAAGCTGACCCAGAACTTTATCTGCGAGGGAGAGGGTCCAGACCTTGTAGGACCCCATTATCTCTGACTGCTCAGCAACATGCCAGTGAAGGGGATAGTTCATATTAATAAAAGTTAAGCAGATAAAGTAATGATCAATACAAAGCATCTGAGTACCTTTTGTACCTTTTGTTCTGTTGTGTTACTCTGTATGTCACGATGACGAGGTAACAAAGTTGATGAATGTTTGGCAGAAATCTTCATAAAACTCTGAGAGTAATGAGCTAGTCCTAAAAGTAAAGGAAAGGGAAATCATAGAATTTTTAAACAACTTTATTGAAGTATAGCTGAAGTACAATAAGCCACACATATTTAAATATATCATTTGTTCAGTTTTGACATATGTATAAATTCATGAAACCATCACCACAATCCAAGTAAACATTTCCATCACCTCCAGATTTTCCTTGTGCCCCCTATAGTTTATGTTAAAAGCTCACTCTACCTTCCGGTTAGCTATTTCTCTAATTTTTTTATGTTGTTCCTCAACTCTTGCTTCTCTTCTTATATCTTCTTTCTCTAATCTTTGCCCCAAGTAACATTTCCTTTGTCTTCCATTCCTAAGGAGCACAATGTTATACTAGTCAGCAGGGGATCTCTTTCATAGTCTTTAAAAAAAATATTTTGTCAATAAGCAAATTAGATCAAATCAAGGGCCTTAAAGAAATCAGGTCAACCATAATGAAAACCTTATATGGCTTTAGAATGGGCTTAAACTTACCGCTCTGTATTGGGGATATGTTGGTGGATGCAATGGAATGGCAAAAGCAAGAAATTATTCTGCTATTGGAAACTTAATTCAAGCATAAAACCTGGCTCCAAAGATGGACCTAAAAGGATTCTGGCAGGAGGGTTTTCCCTTATGGACTTGGGGGTTATCTCATATGTACTTCGTTGCCTTTAAATGCATTTTGACAGAGAAACTAAATAAATAGCCTAGTCTGAATTTTGAGAGAATGCAGGCATAATTACTTTTCACTAGAGTTAAATTCTAAAACTGTAAGAGCAGATGAGGTGTGACTGTTATGCAATGGACATATAATTTGTGGAATAAGTCTCATTATGTTAAGTAAAAGCTGTGGATTATAATAGTGATTAATGCTTAATAATGGCTTATGTTTTTAAAGTAGTATTTTTAGTAGCAGTTTACTTTTTAACACCTGAAATAACTTCAGGTAATATGGTGGGACTGCTAAAAATGTTTACAAATAAAACCATACACAATTTCCCCATCAGTATTTAAAGTTTGGTGACTCTCACCTCTTCAGCTTGTCTACGGAGACTAAGTTTTCTTCCAATGTGGTCATAATGCCGTCTTCCTTTAGTCGGAGTTTGGTCTGTTTTTCTGCCATGTGGTCAACCTTCCTTAATTCCCTACTAATCAAGTCTAAATATCTAAGTGAAAGTGCAAACATAAGTGAAGGTAAACTAAGTGTTTCCCTCACGGGGATATTATCTATTTTCATATTCCCAAACCACCATATGGGCTGCTTTTTATTTTCTGAATTACAGGAAACGTAGAGTTTTTAAGGGACCTAACCTGATCCACCACCTCACCATGCTGCACTCCTTTTAACTGGACTCTCTGTTATTGCGGCCGGGGCAGTGGCAAAACGTGGAACAGAGTGATGAAAAGCATTTTACACAGAGATTGTTCATAACTCAGACGAGTTTTGGGAACACGAGTTTTCAAAGACTGCTGAAATCAACTAAAGGACTGACTTCAAAAGAGAAGTAGATTTAAACTTCCTTTAAAAGTACACGGGTACTGGCTTCTTTGTAATTGCCAAGTCCTTGTATGAGCTCTCATGTACAGATAGGTCCGCAGACTGCCACTCGGGGACACTGGTAGATCAGTGTGTATTCTGGCTTATCACGGCATTAATCCATGGAATGTAAGAGTCCAGTGATGGGGACCTGGCTCTCACCCTTGGTAAAGGAGAAAGAGAAAGAACTATAACTCATCCCTTTGTCTCCCAGGGTATACACTTGACTTCTGCATGGTAACACTGAATGTGTGTAATAACTCAATGAACATTACAGTTGGTTGAGGATATCACCTGTTTATATCAGCATAAGATCAAGTTATAGCCACTCTCCCTTTTTGGCCTTGCAGTCATTTCCTTAAACTTAAGTTTGAAACATGATAAAAACACCTTCTTTCCCTCTGTTACTATGGGCTTGGGTTTTCCAAGCTCAGGGATTTTTACTTTGGATTTCTCCTTCAAATATCCGTTTGGCTTACCTCTTGGGCTCCTAGCGACTCCAGTTTTTCAGGTAGAAACTCTCCTCCCTAGCCTTGGTACCAAGGTTCCCAGTCCCCGTTACCTCTTAATCTCCTTTCCTTCTTTTCTCTACATTGAAAACTCTAGGGGGTTAAATAGTGTCTAATACTTTTTCCATTCTGCTTTCAGTTTTTTCTAGTCCTTTTACACCTTTCTGGGGTAAACAATGTATCCACAAATGAGCTTTGGTCGTACCTGTGCTTGGTTAACAGCTCTTGATCTGAAGCTGCCTGTCTATTTTTCTGTAACAGCCATTGTTGGAAATATGCATTCTCACAATTGTCATAGCCTGCCTTGGTGTCAAACAACTTATTTCCTTGTTTTTCAATTGTTTTCTGAGAAGAGAAAAAAAGAATTGAAGTTTTACTCTTGGCCAGAAATACACCTGTCCTCAGATATGCCTTCTTATGGTGAGGGCTTAGTACCTTCCTGGTAAACTTGGTACCTTTACAAATGGTTAATTCTGTTAACTTGCATTTAAGTCTAGAGTGGCTCCCTTTCAGGTAAGTGAAAATTTCTCTCTGTAAATGAAAAGAAAGGGTCTCATTTTTATCTCTTACAGATCTCCAGAGATCTTGTTACCTAAATATTTCTATGTCAAAATATTACACGAAAAAATTCTGCAGAGGACCAAACCTTTCTTCCAAACCCTACATAAATACTTTCTTACAGGCCCCAAATAAAACAAATTTCGGTATTTAACTTACTTGTTCTCTTACATAGTTTCTTTCAAAGTCTAATTTTAAACTGGTCAGATACTCCCTGTACTTATTTAATTCCTTCAAGGTACAGATGACACATAAAAACAAACACCAAAATGTAAATAAAAAGTTGTTACAATCGTAAAACTCTCCAGAGAACAGTCATAAAACATTCATTTTAGTAACAAGTTTGGGGTCAAGGCTAATAATCGCACATTTTGGCAACTCTTTGGAAGGTAGTAGCTCTCTAACGTTGCTGTATCACCAGGAAATTTCTATCTAAATAACATTATTTCAATAATATGGTTTACATCATAATCAGGAATTTATATTTCCCCAACAAATTTGTTATTAAAACATCACTACAATGATGTTTAACCCCCAGAAGGATTTATTCTATCAAGCTGTATTGTGCTAGGTTTCCACATTCTCTCTAGTCTTCTCAAAGGGTATAGGAAATATTCCTTAACAGATATGCAGGGACATCATTACTTTTAGAGTCAGAGGAAAGGCACTACAAGACAGCTGGGAGAAAAATACATAGATAAAACAAATGTGTGCGTGTTTATATCTTTACACACTCGAATCATATGGTGCCTATCTTCTGCTGTTATCAAAACAGAAAGGTCAAGTGGGAACACACAGTTATTTAGAAACAACAGCTGCCTGATTTCTCTTTACTGAAATACTGAGTAATTAAAATTGAGTTTTCGATTAGGTTTCCTTTACTGGTCAACTAAAGTTGATACAGGGTCCCAGTGAGGTACAGAAACAAGTGTCTAACAAGTCCCTAGGTTTTTGCTGGTTAACAGGAAATAGGATTCAACCCACTTTATTACTGCTGGTGGTGTAGCCGCACTTCTTTCATCTCTGGACGGTGTTTCTTCACTTACAGTATGTTTTTGAACGTGGAGTGTGTAGGCTTTTATAGCTGATTTCCAAAAGTCGACAGTGAGGATCAGACAGGTTAAAATCATAAGAAGGTTGATAAAGCTGCCAACACAGAAATTCAGTAGTATTACATACATAAAATTGAATGAAATCATACTTTCAAACCTCCATTTTTTAAAATGATTAGGTTATTCTTTGAAACTAAACCATGCCAGCAGAATCTGAAGTGAAAGATTACAGACAATGGACTGATCTGGGTAAGTCTAACTGCCTTTCTATTCCTCTCTCTCTCTCTCTCTCTTTTTTCTTAAAACCAGACCTGCCTTTAGGCTGGAGGTGGTAGCCTCAACCTCAGCCCAATACCTGAACATCAAGATGTGGCCCTAAGAGTTCCTGCTAGATAGGTAGGATGCTTCATATGTGGGTAGAGGGGCAGACAGCATGGGCACGATAGGGTTCTAGCTTTCATTTCCCACTTAAGAGCTTCCTTTGTAAGTTTCTGACCACTTGATTGATGCCAGCCTCTTGTCTCTCTCTCCCAAGGGACCTATCTCAGGAATCTGGCCTCGCTGACCACCAATATTTCCTTAAAAAAAGGCAAAAAAAGATATCCTTCTGGGCAATGATTTAATTTACAGTGAGACTAGACAGGAAGCCCATATCTTTCCTAGAAAGAAACAACCAAAGGTGATGGCAATTGATACAGTGCAGCAATTAGTGAACTGATTATTGCATTCCTCCTTTTAGATGTCTGTCGACTTTTGACCAGACCTATCAAGAAAGAAAAAAAATTCCATTTGTTAAGGCCAGGATAAGCTTTCTTATCATCAATTAAAATAACTGGATTCCCTGACCTGAAAAGTGTCTCTGTTAATCATCACTATTATATCACTATCACTATTATATCATCACCAGTGGAAGATCATAGGGTAGACTTTTAAAAGTATGCAAATTGTCCTTGACACCTAACAGGTTATCTTTTCTTGAAAGCAAAATGTCTAAGTTAATTGGTAAAGTATTTATTATTAACTTTACCATAAAAACAATTTAAGGAGCTTTTCAAACAGTTGCTACCCAAGTATGGTATACTAACAAGCAAATTAATTTACAGATAAATTACCTGAGAATACGTTTAATATCAAAGTGTTGGAGTATGAGATGAGTTGTCAGGTTTGGACTGATGCATGGTAGCTTTGTTACATTTTAATATTATTGAAAATAAGAGAGAATGCTACAGTTTTGCTTCCACTTGCATTCAAAACAATCAGAAAGACCTTTAAATTCCCTGTTTCCATATGCTCTGCTAAAGTGGTCTGAAGTGCAGGAAGCAGCAAGGTGAGGTGAAGGAGCATGGCCTAAGAGTCAGGAGACAGGGGTTCTGGTCTGAATTCTGGTACTGTCTACCTGTGACCTTAGATAAATCTTGGCTTTACCTCATAAGGTAGTCATGAGTTAAAAAAAAAACAAAAAACTAAAAGTATAAATATAAAGTCTTAGTTCCTTGAGGAGATCCTGCTAAAACACAGAGGATCCCACAAAGCTGGCCTTCAAAGGAATTGAGTGTAGTGTCTGATCATGATCAAATGCATACATTTTGGAGGAATCAATATAATAAAGTATAGAATCAGTGTAATTAAATATGGAAATATTCTGGAAATTATACGTAGATAACACATGAATAACAGAGGAACAGAATAGCAATATGGCAAATAGAAGATAGTTGAGGAAGAAACCAACAGAGAGGGCTGAAGTTACACACTAAGGAGTATTATTACTTGCAGTGGAACAGGTTTTGAGTATGTTTAAGGAAAGCTAATTTATGGGAGTGTGACTCAGTCAATTTCTGTAAGGTAGGCATATATTTAGTAGAACATATTGGTTTTCAAAGGATAAGTTACATTGCTTTCCAGCAATACGCATTTAAAAAGTACATATTAGACAAGTATCAGAACTACTAAAGGAGCCCCTACTCATCCTTGCTGACACTCTAGATAGTGGAAGGATAAGGATGTCAGAATAATTCCTGTAGAACCCTTTGCTATTGTGATCAAAGCACACAACCACAAAGTTCTGCACTTCCTTCAGGCTTGGCCTGGAAGCTAAGGACAGCGAAGGAGTGTTAGGTAGAGCACTTAAAATGTATAACCGTATGAGTGCTGTACACTAAGTCCCTAGCAGTACTGACTCAGTGCTGAGTGAGAGTGTGCAGACCAAGGTCAATTAAATTTTAAGGGAAGATGAGATAATTGGGGGTTGTGACACTTGGGAAAGGCTTCACATAACAGCTCTTCAGAGATGGCTCAAACCAAAGGTCAGGAAGGAGAGGAGGAGAGTACATGCCAGTGAGACAGGGACTCTTGATGTAGTCAGAGTAGCGTGAGGGCCTCCGGAGGGGGCAGGGCTAGATATTTACAGTCAGAGCAATGTAACTACATGCAAAGAACCCCCCCCCCACACACACACACTAAAACTCTTATGTTGAACATTAAGCTCTAGAATCATTCTTCAGTGAGATCAGTTAATATTCCCCCAGATAAAGAAGAGTAGCACATGTTTTATTATCCTAATCATTTGTAACCATGTGTAAGATTCACTTTAGCATACGAAAAGGCCCAGGCCTATGTGCCGTCTTTCCTCCTTCACATCTGAGGAGGTGATTTTGCACACTGAGCAACTAACTGAGCGTGTAGACCCAGCTATAGATGTGATATGGTAAATGGCAGGAAGAATTCCATCTTAAAAGATTGCATTTTAACACCCAGGAAGTTTAAGAGGCAGGATTCTTTAGCGAATAGACAATACCTCAGCCCACCTTGGGGACTGGGCAGGCAGCCTTTTGATATGCTCCCAGACCAAGATGCCAGTATCCCAGAAAGAAATCAAGGCAGGAAATTCCTATTTTTAATATTCAAGGACCACTTAACAAGTCCACACCCCTAAGCTTTTTTTCACATTCCCAAATAGCCTCAACTGCCTATAAAACCCCTAGACAACACACCACCACGGACTCTCTTGTCCCCTCCTGGCGCGAGCCGGGAGCTCTGGCCTTTCACTTTATCTCTAAATAAGAGCCTGTACCTTACTCTCCTACCTTGAGTGTTTGTGAAGCTCACTCTTTGGCTTCGTGAACAAGAATCCCGGCATCACCAGGTTTCTGGAGCCAGAAGGGCAAAGGCACAGAAGTAGGAATTAGTATATTTTGTGTGGCTAGGCAGAAAAGACCCCAGTCTTCTTGGGTTAGAGACAAGGCTGAATTAGGTGGCTGAGGCATATCACAGGGCCATCTATCATTAAAGTGAGGTTCAGACACTAAATACTTCAACTCGTTTAACTTCACTTGGTGTGCGAAATTGAAGCTGACTCCGAAGCAAAATCATAGTAGTGTTGATGCCGGGGTTCTTGTTTGCAGAGCCGAAGAATGAGCTTCACAAACAGTCAAGGTAGGAGAGCAAGGTACAGGCTTTTATTTAGAGATAACAGTGAAAGGACAAAGCTCCAGGCTCACGCCAGGAGGGGACAAGAGAGTCCGTAGTGGAGCGTTGTCTGCGGGGTTTTATAGGTAGCTGAGGACTTTTTGGAGAACATGAAAAAAACTTAGGGGTGTGGACTTGTTAAGTGGTCCCTGAATATTTAGAATTAACTTAACACAAGCAACTTCTGAGATACCAGCATCTTGGGTCTGGGGGCATGTGAAACAAGGCCTCCTGCTCAGCCCCCAAGGTGGGCTGAGGTATTGTTTGCTAAAGAGTAAGTTAAGAATTTCTAACGTCTTAACTTCTTGGGTATTAAAATGCAATCTTATCTTTAAGGTGGAATCCTTCCTGCCTTTTACTGTGTTGTTTATGCCTGGGCTTACTTGCTAAATCAGTTGCCCAGTTTGCAAAAATCACTTCATCAGATCTGAAGGAGGAAAAGCAGCACATAAGCCTGGGCCTTTTAGTATGCTAAAGTGAACCTTACACATGATTATAAATGGTTAGCATAATAAAACTTGTGCTACTCTTCTTTATCTGGGGAACATTAACTGATTTCACTGAAGAATGATTCTAGACCTCAATGTTTAACATAGAGGTTTAGTAGGGGGGTTTCCTTGCATGTAGTTACATTGCTCTGACTGCAAATACCCCGCCCTGCCCCCTCCGAAGGCCCTCACCCTACTCTGACTACATCCACTGTCCCTGTCTCAGTGTTTCCAGTTTAATAGGAAACTGAAAAGGGTAAAGAAAATCATTTGGGCACTATCAAAACTTAGTTTACCTTTTCACTTGTATTTGTAGCGTAGAACACATTATTGCTTCCTGGGGTAACAGGCAGTTTGACCACAAGAGTAAGATCCAATAGATCAGCTGCTCCGACCTCTGGAGTGGGTTTTTTTTTGCGAGCTCTGTCAAATACAATTAGAAGTTTGTCTGTTTGCCCCCTAGAATTACCCCTTGAGTTCAGACCAGTCTACTCACCCTTCAGTGGGCTAATACGTATCTCCAAGTAAACCAAAGAATCACACACTCTAGGTTCAAAGAACCCTCTCCGCCGACAACCGGGAAGACCTCCCAGCTTTCCCGGGGCACCAGCCCTACCTCCGGGCCTCCCCACGACCAGTCGTTGCCAGAGGCAGCTCTGGCTACTACCGTCTGCTCGGAACGGAGCCAGGAAGTCAGAAGATAGGTCACCCAGGACCCCAGTCTTTCTCCTGAGCTCTGCTGAGGTCCCCGCCCCTTCCGTCGGCACGCACTCCCAAGACCCCGCCCACAGCTCAGGAGGAGGAGGGCGAGGACGGCCGACTAGCTCCACTCACGTTGTCGCACTGCTCCGTGCCTGCAGTTCGGCTGCAGGCGGCCGCCTTAGTGGCGGCGGCTTTGGCAGCCTTGCGGCAGTTGCCGAGATACAGATCCATGGCCACCCATCAGCTCCCAGGGGCCCGGGGGCTGGGGCGGCAATCTGTCTTCCTTTCTCTCCTCACTCGCACCTTTCCCGCTCTAAGCCCAGATCAAGTCTGGGCCGCCAGGACAGTGGTCAACAAGGTAACGCGTTCCCCAGGCCACGCCCCCAACTATGTCGCAGGCAGAAGCGATGACGTCCTCAACAGATGTCTCCCGCGCAGGCGTCGCACCCCAGGGAGGGGAGGAGGAGCCACGGCCCTCGCCTCCAGAACCTTGGGCGCATGCGCAGGACCCAAGACTCGAGGTTTAGAATCCTCAAGAGTTGGGAAAGTGGTCCCAAACGCTTGGTGTAAGAGGGCCACAGCTGCGATCCCCTTTATCTCTGCAACCAGCACCCACTCCTTTAAACTAAACCACAATGTATCAAGTTTTGCTAGTGGGCAGCTGGGTGTAATTCTAATCTTTCTTGGTTCCCAAGGAGCAATGTCATTTTGTGATTGGCTTGTTTCATTTAGCCTAATGCCTTCAAGGTTCATTCCTGTCATAGCATGAGGTAGGATTTATTGACTTTTTAAGGTTCAGTAATGTTCTATGATATGTATGTACCACAGTTTCTTTATGCACTCAACCATTCATGGACATTTAGGTTGGTTATTGTGAATAGTGCCGCTATAAACATAGGTGTGCCAATGTCCCTTTTTGACACCCTACTTCAATTTCCTTGGACAAATACCCTGAAGTAGGATTGTTGGATCATATAGTAACCCTATTTTTAATTTTTTTGAGGTCTATACTGTTTTCCGTAGTGCTTACATATTTTATAATCCCACCAATGGGGGGTAAAGGGCGAGGGGTGCAGATTTGTTGTAAGACCACCTGCCCTGTCCCCAAAGTGGGCTGGGTTGTTGTCTGTTTGCTAAAGAGTGAGTTAAGAATCTTACTTCTTGACTTCTTGGGCTGTTTATAGTTGGGATTGCTTACCAAATTAGTCTTTTGCCTAGGTTGCAGATTACTTGATTAGGACTAAAGAAGGGAAAACAGCACATAGGTACAGTTAAAAATAAGCTTGGCCTTTAACAGGCTAAAGCAAATTTTACAGTGTCATGATCTAACTGATACAGTGAAGTCACAAGTTATGCTGAGATACTCTTCTTTATTTGCAGAACACTCAGACATTCCAGGCCAAGTTGCTCCTGGCCTTTTGAGCTTTAGTGATCTCACTGAAGATGTCCATCTTCCTAGTCTGGTATCTTTACCCTTAGAGAATTAGTGTGACTCTGACATTGCATAATGCTCAATGCAGAGTTTCTATAGGGACTTATTTGCACATTGTTGCATTGTTTTGACTGTAATTATCCTGCTTTGCTTTTTTTCTGGAGGCCCTCACCCTACGCTGGGACCCTACTAAACCTATGGTCCCTGTCTCACCTGCAACCTTGACATTCAATCCATCCCTACACCCTACAGCTTTTGCCTCCTAAATAGTTCCCCCAGTTGCCGTTCCTTCTACCATTGCTCTAGTTGAGCCAGTCATCATTTCCTGAACACAACATCATCACAGACTCCTAATATCTTTCTTCTACCTCTCCAATCCATCTTTTATTCTGTCACCAAAGTTATCTTTCTAAACTGCAAACAGATCATGTGTTGCCCCTGCTTCAAGTCCCCAATGCCGTCAGGAAGGCTGAAAACAAAGCACAAAGTGTTTTTGTGACTTGGTCCCTGTCTACATCTCCAAGGCACTAGTTTACCACCTCTCAAACTTGACCCTACAGTAATACAAAGCTGGTTTTAGTTGGTCCTCTTCATACGGCCTGCTGGTTCATGACCCTGTGCCTTTGCTCATGGTGTCCCCTCTGCCTTGCATGATTCTGGGTAATCTTTGCCTGGCTAATTCTGGGGCTTCAGCTGGAATGCATGGGATAATTGGGCTCTCTCTCCCTGAGTTTATTTTATCCTCCAGGAGGTAAGGCTATGATTCTCCATATGGTAGTCTTAGGTTTCCCAGCAGTGAAAAAGAGTAAGCCCCAAAGTGCAAGTACTTTCAAGATTTTGCTGGCATCACACTGGCCAAAGCAAGGCACATGGCTAAGCCCAAAGTCAATATAGGGAAAGATTAACCAAGGGCATGTATATAGAGAAGTGTTGTTCATTGGAGGTGATTAATGCAACAGTACAGAATACCTGCTCATCCCTATGGCTCATGTTCCTCCTATATGCAAAATACACTTAACCTCTCTCAAGATCCCGAAAGTTTCATCCAATTGTAATGTCAGCTCAAAGTCCAGGATTTTGTTATCTACAATCATATCCAGAGGTAGCTTCTTATTTCAGAGAACTATGAACTATAAGACAATTTTCATTAATTATCTATTGCTAAGTAACAAGTGACCCCTACACTTAGTGGTATACAACAATACAAAATCATTTATTACCTCCTGGCCTCTATTTCAGACAGGGCATCAGAGGGTACAGCTTGTCTCTGTTCCATGATGTCTAGGGCTTCTGTTGGAAGACTTGAAGGTGGAGGCTGGAATCATCTTAAGGTTTTGTTCACTCACATGTGTGACAATTGATGCTAGCTGTTGGCTAAGAGCCTATCTGGGGTTGTCAGGCAGAACACCCACAGTTGGTCTCTCCATATTGACTGGGCTTCCTCACAACATAGTATCTGCATTCCAAGGGCAAGGAGAGAGAGAGAGAGAGAGAAATAAAAAGAGGGAGTGTGTAGGGCAAAGGAAGGGCGGGGATGGGAAGAGAGGGTAGGGAACAAAGAGAGAGCCAGGTGAAAACTATGTTGCCTTTTATGACCTAGCTTCAGAAGTCATGCAGCGTCACTTTTATGACATTTCATTTGTTGAGGCATTTACAACACCCCACTCAGTTTCAAGGGGGAAGGAACATAGGTGCCACTGTCTTAATGGAAAGCTGACAATGTCACATTGTGAGAATAGCATGTGGGATGATCTATATATTGGTATGGCCACCTTTGGAAAAATATGATCTGCCAGACTAGTTATCTGCATAGGCCCCCAACATGTAATGGTGATACAAGGACAAGATAATGGCAATAAACACTCCCATTTGAAAAGCGAGGTACAAAGGAGGCCCTGGCCTACAACAATTCTGAAATCCATTTGGGCACATGTTACCAGGTCCCTTTACTCTTGGAGAAGAGAAATCCTTCATTAGATCCTGATTCCACTCTCTGGGAGTGGTTTCCTAGTCCACTGTTATGTATAGCTGTTATTTCTGTCCTCTGGCCTCTTGACTTTGTCCCATGGGTCATACTTTTATATAAGAAGTGGCCTGTGTTTGCTGCTTAGTCTCTTTCTCAGCCTTCTCCATGACCACAGAAATCTGGGGGCCCAGGAGAAATCTGCAAACTGGGCCATCTCAGTCCCTCTTAGATCCATTTGAACGTGTTTTGTTAGTTCAGCTCCCTTGAAAACCTTGTGGGTTCCATATGAACCTCACTTGAATCCACTCCATTGGGTGGAAGTTATACCCACAGCACTTTTTGAGACATGTTTCCTCTACTTTAGGTAGCATGTCAAGGGCTGTGGGACAATGCCCTTTGTCTATCTGAAAGGGTCTATTAGGCACAAACTCACCTCTTTCTAGGATCTTCACAAAGGTTCTTACAGTTACACTCTTAATCTTTGCTGGCTTACTAAACCTGAGTTGTGAAGTACTTTTATTTTCTGATTCAGATAATCCTGGCTTTTCTATATTTCCTCTAAAATTCTGCTTGCAAAATCTGCTAAGCTCACCCATCTCTTTCTGCACATTGTGATGTGCAGCTAAAAGTCAAATGACACTATCAATATTTTGCATGACCAGACATTTTCCTTAGCCAGATACACAAATTCATACTTTTTTTTTCATCTTTGCTAACTTTTTTGCTACGACACGTCATGGGATACCATTTTTCCAGCCTTCAATTGCAGTTTCTTCACCAGTTTTACAGCCACTATTATAGTTTGTTCACCCATTTCCCAGCCTTCACTAACGGTTTTCTTGCTGCTTTTCTAGTGCCCACCCACTACTCAGTCCCAAAGCAAATATACCTAGTTTTTTTGTTTGTTTGTTTACAAAAGTACCTTACTTCCAAGTACCCATTTCATTGGTTTAAGATGTTTTTGTTTATGTATGTGGGGCCTCAGCTCTGAAGGTTGGAATAGCTGGAATGTCTGGGCCCCTCTTTCCACATATTCTCTTACTGTCCTTCAGGGTTCACCCAGGAAAACAGAGCTACTGTTTTGTGTAATAAAGACTTTAAAAAATAAGCATTGGGCCAGACTTACATAACTTTGAAAGGAGTTTGGAAGGAGTTGAAGATCCCAGAAAGTGTCACTAAGCCACCATGTGAAGCACTGGCATGGGTGGGGAAACAGGAGCTTTCAGGGACATCTGAGAAGCAAAGCATGTTTAGTTAGTGAAGTAGGACAGTGAAGGGGGAATTGGTGGAGAGATCTTAGGAAAGCTCGAGCTACTGTTCCTGTGGGCTCACAGTTAAGAATATGTTGCTGGTCCTCGTGGAACCTATAAACAACTCAGCATGGAATCCTAAAAGCATGTTCAAGTAATCCACAGAAAGGCAAAAGAGAGAAAGTAACAAGAGACAACAGAAACAGAGCTCCAAAATATATGAAGCAGAATCTGATAGACATGAGTCAAACAATAGATAGATCCACAATTACATGTGGGGAGTTCAACACTCCTTTCTCAGTAATTGACAGACAATCAGTAAAGGGCATAGAACTGAAATACACTGTCAACCAGCTTAACCCAATTGCCTTTTACACAACACTCCACCTGACAGCAGCAAAATACATATTCTTTTCAAGTGCCATGGAATACAGGCAAAGATAGACCATATTCTGGGCCATAAAATGAATTTTAACAAGCTCACCAACATTTCAGTGATAAAGGTATGATCTTGGATGATATTATTAGTTGAACTGTATTCTCCCAAAAGATATGTTGGAAGTCCTAATCCCCAGTACCTTAG